AGCAAATTCTGGTTGTATAAGTAAATGTTAGACAACAAGATGCTGAAATGGTATTTTCATACCAATAGCCTCAAGTGTTATTGTCATTTTTCTGAAATTGTTTTTGACATTATTCAGTTCTCACATAACTTTTAACACGAGTAGTAAAGCATGTCTGCCTTCTCTTTCTAAACAGCACTCCCCTCTTCCTAGGCACATTAAAATCTGGATACTGCTTTTTTGGCCTAGTATTTCTACAATGACCACTTAAGACTAATTAATTCCTGAGAAGGTAACCAGAATCCTGCCTTGTAGCTGAACTCTTGGTTGAGCTTTCTATGACTTTTGCTTTCTAGTTACGAACTACCTATAACTTATGATAGACCATCAGGTCTGGGAAATCCATTCTGAGCTTCAGTTTTCTCTCATCTAAAATGTGGATTATCATATCATCGGTGTGCTTGAAAATTGAAAGGCATAGTATATGTAAAACATCTAGTCATATAATAATTAATGGTAATTATTAATATTTTTTTTATTATCCTTTGCAATACCTGGTAGGTTACTGAGCTCATAAGATCTTTCCATAATACATGCTGTTTGATTGAATTGCTAATTTCAGAAGTGTTTATGCGACGACCTGTTTTTCCTCTCAGGTGTCATAGGAAAAAAATTAGTATAATCTAATCAAAGGTTCAACTGTTCAAGGCCTGGTTGAGCCTGAAACTTTAGGCTTCTGGCTACCATTAGGAAAATGATCTAATAGCCAGCTGCTGTATCTTCATCAGCTTATTGAAAGATACACACATGATCCTGAAGATTTTATATAGCTCAGTCACTCAATATGTTTGCATTAGATGATTTCATAATTCAATAGACAGTGATGCCACATACTCCTCTCTTCTACTCTCCTTTCCTGTACCCTCACCCATCCAACCTATAATCATCTTTATTGCATCAAGGAAAGTGATGGCACTGTTAGTGAGAGTATATACAAGAAAAAGCACTTTATTCCATTCTCTATGGTATTTCAGTTCTTTAATCCCATATTCACACACAGTTGAAAAGCTGGTTACCATTTTTTTTCTTGCTACTTACTAATGGAAAAGTACTGTGCCCTTTCTTGCAGATGTTTTAAAACCAGGATGACATGGTTTTCCTAGGGTGTCTATAGAAGGAGCATGGTTTATGGTTTCATAATCCTAGAAGAGGGAAATAGAGAATACTTAAAATAAAGATGTGAAGAATACCCTTATAGATAGTATCTATAATCTCTGCCACAAACTTAAAACTTGACTCAACTGTTTAATATTGTTCTCTAATACTTTACCGTATTTAGTCATCTCACCATTAAGACCATAACCTCCTTCTGAGATCAGGTTATTTTTCAGTGCCCTTGTATTTTCTTCAAATGCTAACAAAAAGGGACTTCTTAAAGAAATCTGATAACTATTGGTTGGCTAACTTCCCCAAAAAACCACATTTTATTTTCAAGACTTCCAACTCCTTATCCAGGTCTTCAACCCATATGCTCTTTAAAAGATAATTTCTATAACTAGTCTCTCACACAATGAGCACTGACAACATGGATTTAGGGCTACACCTTCTTTTTCCATGTTTTTTATCCTGGAAGCCAATAAGTGACATAAAGTCTAGAAGAGTCAGTGACCCCAATTCTAATTGTTATATATACAGTTTCTAATATCTGTGCATTCAAAACATTAATAAGAAACTGAAGTTCTTAATTTGACCTCATGAAAAGCCAGAATTAGAAAAGACTTCAAGCTTTTGCTGTGACTCAATGGGTCTCAGGTAACTAGAATGACATCTTTTAAAGTAGGTAAAGAGTTTCAACAGGGTAAACACAGAGAAGCGTTCTGGAAGTCTTTGATGGATCAGTGCTCAGCAATAAAACTGAACTATCAGTCTGCGCTGAATCAGCTGATGTGCCCTGGAAAGTGCCAGAAGCAGCCCGAAGGATGCTCAGAAGCCCCCTACTTCACGGATCTTTCTCTCCCCTGTCTTCACCCCACCTCCTCGACCATGATCATTTCCAGTTTCCCAGCCTGCTCTAGTATTTACCCCGGCTCCAGAGCTTCAGATCGTGCAGGAGGGCAGGAGCCGGAGACGAGCTGCTGCTCGCCCCTGATGTTGACTGTCAACTCCCCAGGTCGTTGCATGCGGGCGATGTCAAGGGGCTTTATGCCGTCAGCGCGTTGTCGCCCTGCGGAGTGGATTCTTCCCACCTCTTCCATATTCCCCTCCAGGACTGCACAAAGAAAAGCGGAGTTCTCTTCTCTAATTACCGCCACGTGGGGAAGGAAGATTTCTGTTCGAACTCTTAGGCAACACTAACAGGAAGAGGGAGACATTATCAGAATTTGGAAAGCCCTAAGGGAGGCCGAAAAAGGCGTTCTCTCTCAGACAAAAACGCCTGAATTAATGAGGTCGAGAATTTAAGAGGGAGAGGTTGGTTAACAGATGCAAAATCACAGCTAGGTAGAAAAAATAAGTTGTAGTGGTCTACAGTAGTATTAGGCATCTATAATTAACAATAATCTATTACACTCATTTGCTCTCATCACAAGGAAATGATACATTTTTGTGACGATGGATATGCTAATTACCTTATTTGATCATCACACATAGTATACACATATTGAAATATAACTCTGTATCCCATAAACATGTACAATCAATACGTGTAGATTGTCAAGTGAACAGATATGATGTGGGGGGAGAGGAGGGATGGAGAGGAATGGGTAAAGGGGCATGAAAATCGACTACAATGTATATTGAGAAGTAAAATAAAATTTAAAAAAGATAATTTCAAAGTAAAAAAAAAATACGTGTAGATTAACAAATAAATTAAATTTTTTTTAAAAAGTAAGAGCGAATTGAAAGAGTCAGTGCTCAAGTTTGCAGTGCAGTCCCAGTGTGGTGCCAACAACACTTGGCTACATAGACCAAGTTGGCAGTTTGCAGGTTTTCTCATAAACACTTTGTGTTCTTGCCCATCTTCTTCCCTTGGCCAACAGTTCTGTGGTCAGAAAATCCAAGAAGAGTAACAGGAATAACTCTTTTAGGACAATACCCAGAATTTCTGACCCGTGGCTGCTGGCTTTAAGTTTAACAGATGCGTCAGGCATTGGTTGAAGATGTGTTACCCCTCTCCTATGAGTAATAGATTCATTTTCTTCTATGTTTAGCTGTTTTCAAGATGCAAAGATAAATTAGTGCATTACGTAGAGGAAGGGTTGAGTCAAAAGACATCAAACCAAGGATTAATATCTATCACATCCTGGCTCTCCGAACCACATGGAAAAAGAAGCTTGAATTTTCTCATTCCAATGTTTCAGACTCACCCAGGTGCAACTGCAGCTTTAATTTACTGCCATGTTTCTTGGTGCTGAGTGCCATTTTCCCTTGCCAGTGCTATAATTTCAAGTGACCAATGCACAGACATTGTTTTAGCTCTCCTTTACTTGCTTATTTTAGTTCATGCGCTACTGACTAATAAAATCTTGGAATTTAGAAGTCATCCTAGACTGCTTAACTCTTACAGCTATGTCTAATCAAAGCACATTCCCGTTTGCCTTTCTAAATATTTATAAAATCTATCCCCCAATCTCTCTCTCACTGCTATATTCATGTTTTCACCATATCTTGCCTAGATCATTTAACATTTCAAATACTCATATCCACAAAATCTCTGCCAACATCTTTATAAACAGAATTTCTTGGTATATGTGTTCTTTTTCTAGTGCAAAACAATTCATTCTTAACTCTATAGTAGTCTTTCATTTACAATGAGTATCTTATTTTATATTCTTGGAGACACCATACCTGTAATTATTACTTGCTGCTATCCTCACATAAAAGTTGCCGGAATGAGAGCAACTTGAGTATTGTAATGATAGAAATTGTTGGCGAACATGCATTTGAGAAGTTGGCTATGTCTCTCTTGATTACTGTTATATCTCCAAAGCCTAACACAATACCAATAGCGTAGGTGGCAGTTTGTAAACATTTGTTGGGTGAGTTCTTAGGTAATAAAAAAAAAGAAAAAAAAGAGGATGCAACATCTCTTTCCTCTAAGCCTTATAGTACTGTGAGAGAAATACGTATATATCAATGAATAAATAGCATTACCAAATAGTGCAGTATAATGTTAAGTAGGGGAACATGAAATATATAAAGCAATTGGGAGTTCTGTGAATTGTTATAATGTAGGTAAAAGCTAACTGGTAGGTTAACCTTTGAACTGTCTGAATAATGTGCGTGACTTGTTTAGAAGAAAAAAAATGGTTTGTATACTTGGTTAAAAGAACAAAAGCAAACAAATCAATATATAGTAAGAACTATTTAAGTCAGAATGATAAACTGTTGAAAATATTGGGGAGATTTTGTATAGAGGACTAAGGTGGTTAAAAGAACAAAAGCAAACAAATCAATATATAGTAAGACCTATTTAAGTCAGAATGATAAACTGTTGAAAATATTGGGGAGATTTTGTATAGAGGACTAAGGAGATTTTCTTCTCTGTACAATATGGGACAGTAATTTCATTGACATTTTGGAGGGTTGGGAATTATATAATCAAAATATTATTTCCTGAAAGCTACCTGATAGTGCTATGCAGAGTGATTTGCAGAGGTGAGAAATTGGTGGTAGGAAAAATAAGAGTGTGGTGACAATTTCCCCTACTAATTCTATAGCAGCAGAAATAGGACAAAAAGGGGGCCGGCCTGGTGACGCACTGCTACAGTGCGCCGCTTGGGAGCGCGGCGGCCTTCCCGCTGAGGGTTCGGATCCCACATACAGACCGGTTCCCGCTTACTGGCTGAGCGAGGTG